GTTGGTTAAAGAAGGGGTTATAGGCAGTAGGATTTCCTGCGGATATATGAACTGGGAGATGTAGCCGTGTCTTGGTTCCTTTGCCATTGGTGCGTGTCGAGTTGATTATGTTGATTTTTCTTCGCTCGGGTCTGTCAACGTGCTGTCAACTTTTCTACTCCGATTGGATCTTGGTTTTGATGATCAAGGGCTTCAAGGGTTCTTAAAATCTGATTGTGAGGTTCTGATTGATGAGGGCATGCTGCTGGGTTATGTAAGCAGTGTGTGAACCTTTTTGTTCAGGCTTTTCTTGCCATACCGATTTTCTTTCTTACCAATGAGAGTCTCTGGCAGCTCCAGTTCGAAACTATCAATGGTTTATCGATTAATGGCCAATAAATTTCACTTTTCAAAAAAAAAAAATTATGTCAACTGTATATATATTCCTTGGATACATTACTTTATATCAATTTTCTTCCACTTTCATACACAGCTTTCCCATCAGAAAGCTATAAAAGTGCAGACATCTTTGCAGACACCTTTTTCTTAAAGATCAACACTAGATTCTCTAAATTTTTGTTGAAACCAATGCCAGAAACAGGCGATATTTTGATGACAATTAATTGCATAACCATACTCTTAAAGATCTTTTTCATATGTTTCTTTGTTTGATTAATAAAAGGGTCCAGAGCATATTCTCTCAAAAAATAATTGCTAATTAGTACAAAACTATCTGTAAAGTGAAAACCTCCCATGTATCTATGTAAACAGTTGGAGCGGATACAGAAAGAGTCTGATGATTGTATTACAACTTCACAATGAATGCAAGAAAAATAAACCAATACAATTTCAATGAATATGAATAGATAAGTTTAGAGAAAAATAAAATTTACAGCAAACACACAGATATTATTCTTCTTATTCACTGAACTACATGGAAAGACTACAAAGCACTACATTAATAGAGATATTAACTCATTCTCCATCATCAAAAGATTTTCTATCCTAGCCTCTTATTTTACTTCATAATGATGGAACAATACCATAGCCATAGTCTTCCTTTGAGAACAGCTGATCATCCTCAATTTCCATATCTGTTTTCCTTGCAAATCTGCCCTTGACTCGTGGTCGAGTCTCTGCATAGGCTTTCCTGGAGGCATATCTTATTTTCTTCTCAAACTTTCTCGCTTTCCTCTTCTCTCTGTAACGTAGGACCTTTGCTTCCCTGTTCATTGGTGTAAATTGGAGTGGGAACAGAGGCAAGGGATACGGAAAGAGATCAGTTGCCCCATTTGGAAATCCAGTGTATGTACTCGGGATGTTGCTTGTAGCGTTTGGTAAAATGCCAGCAGTAATGAGCGGTATGGGGACCTAAGTGTAAAATTAGAGAAGAATCTTCAGATAATGAAAATATGATACCGGTAAGCTCTAGGAGAGAATACTAACAACAAGTCTAGAAGCAACCTCTCTGATGGAGCAATGTTAAGATATTTCTAAAGTTTAATTGATCAACAACTAGGAAAATAAAGGGAAGCGGGGGAGAAGCTGAAAGGTTGTGCTAAAGTCAAGTTGCTAATAGCAGTAATTTCTGATAAAAGCAGTCAGAAGCTATTATGATCTTGAATTCTAATGCTGTCTCCCATTCTAAGAACTTCAGCAAGGGCCTATTTGTCATATTTCAGGAGAGCTTCAGAATGGACTTACATAAATGCCATTAGTTTGGTGTTCTTCATTAACAAACTTTGGAAAATCCCTAGAACATTGGTGAAGCGGCTGAGCTCCCCGAGCATATATCAGCCAACAACAAGAACAATTAATGAGCTGTGGGTAAAGCTAATATCATTCCACAGTTGAAGAGAAAACAAACAAAATATATGTACATAGTTGCATATATGCAAGAATGCAGGCATAGACATGGCTAGACACACGCACACATATACACACATATAGAGGGGGAGAGGGATAAGATCCTGGAAATTAAAGTTAAACAACTATGTAGTTTTACACAGTTATGAACAGATAACGCCTAAGTTGCTGTCAGAAACGCATGCAAAGTTAAACTCTCAACAAGAGATTACTTGAGGACAAGTTAATTTAGAATGTGTAGGATCTTACGCTTAGAGTACTTGAAGGGGTATTAATGAATGCAGCTTTTGATCTCCTATGTTCTGTATTGAAGTAAATACTCTGCAACCACTGGTGTGTTTGCTGCTGCAGTTGTTTCTCTTGTTGCTGTGATTGATTCTTTGATTCAAAAGTTTGAACTGGAACATCAATATCACTTCCACTGTCTTCTGGATAATTAACACACAGAAGTTGTTGCTGATCACTGCACTGTTCTTGGCACTGATACTCGGTACTGGTATCCCTAACATCCATATACTCATCAACTTTCTCACCATAGGTAAATCCACTAATGGTCTGGTTGTCAGTGTTATCAGGCTCAAGCAATAACCAAGAATCAGTTTCATCTTCATCAATTTTCTCATTTATTGTAGCGGCTGCAATTTCATTTTCCATGCCAAACATGGGACCTCGCAGCTCATCCTGGTGAGTACTTGAGGAAGAACATGCTAGACCAGAGAGTGGTGGAATAGGGACCCTGATATGGCGGCGGGCCAGTAGATTGACTGAGTGTATTTCAATGTCGCATTTGATGCAAAGTGAAGCTGCATCAGCCCTGCAGGTGACAGCTGCTGCTGCATTCTCGCACACAGTGCAAATCCACACACGCTGGTGTGACAAGGCCATAGGATTGGCAGCATGGATCCGCTCATCGCAGCTTTTGCAGAGGTAAGAAGAGTCAGTATAGCAGTAGAGTGTGCAGGCTGCAGCTTGACATGTATCACAAGTACGAGCCCAGTAGCTTTGGTACGTAACCATCTCCACCAGAGCCCACCTTCAACATGCTTCTTTCATGTTGGAGAATGTTAATTCATAACTTTTATAAGGTGTGTAGTAATTTTTTCTTGTCTCTAGCCACCTGAGAAATATCCTGAGACTGAAAGATTGTATTTTGGTGGGGGAGGAAAACTCTAATCATTATGTAATATGTGACTGAAAGGAGTGTGTGTTTCTACTAGTGTGAAGTATTTGTAGTATTTATAATCCATCCATGAGTCCATAACTTCTACTTAAAGGAATTACAGTCATTACGTAATGAAGATAAAGTAGAAGTTCAATCAAGATTCATAAATCTAAACACGGAGTTTTGGCATCGAATTAAGAGATTGTTAGTGAGAAAGAAACTTTTCAAGGAACTTCCTATGGATTGTAGCCACAAGTCTCCACTTAGCCACAAAAGGTCCACGTGATGTCAAAGCCAAAGATTCAGATTCTACCATGTTCTTTTCACTGGGAAGTTGTTTCCCATCATTCACAAATTTTCTTAACAAGTCAGCATTTGCGAAGAATAATAAAAAGTTGATTAAAATTCAAATGAGAGAAGTGTTTGCCACGAACAACAAAAAGGTTGAAAATATGAAGAAAGGGGGAAAGAAGCTGCCTAGCTCCTACAAATGAAAAAGGGCATTGCTACAGGCCAAATATAAAGTTGAACTTGGGAGGTCAAATACCAAAAGGGAAATAAGTTTTGCCCATAAATTCCAAAAAGATAATCAAGATAACATGATCAAGAGAAATATGAATTATGTTTTTCGTATCTCTTTTATTACAGGTAAAAAAGGATTTGAACTCACGAGAAAAATATGTGACCTTCAATTAAATTTTCCCTTTCAAACACTGGATGTTGTTTTATATCATTTGAGCTCGTCAGCATGAAAGAGCTTTTGGAGGATTCCCACTCTACATGGCTTTTTGCCATACATGTCCATCGGTAGCCACAAAAAGGGGAAAAGGCACAACATTATCCATAATTTACGTCGTCACTCGCGATGGTAGGCGCGGGTGGAGTGGTGATACTGTTGAGTGAGACAGAAAGAGAGCCGGGGCAGCGACTGGGACAGTCCCACAAAGTGAAAAGCGTGATGGGCTTTAGCGGTTGAAACAAATCGGCCCATGATCTTGTGGCTACGTGTTGTTTAGGGTGGGGCTGGAGAGGTTCTTCTTGGGGGCTCACAACTTTCTTCCTTCCTGGAATCTTACAGCCCTTTGCCAGAAAACAGAAAAAGGTGCACTCTATTCGGTCATTGGAATATTAAAATAACCAGTCCCACTTTAATATTGTCTCTACGTAACAGGCTGAAGCAGCTGTTTTGCTGCTTAATAAGCTGAATAATGGGACATACGAAGAATACTTCCATTAACTGTCATTCCTTATCAGTAGTCCCACTGCTTTTAGTTATTGGATAAAATTGCATTACTCTTACGAAGAAAGACCTTAGCTGATATCAGGTGAGTTGAGTCGAAACTTGGTCAGCTTTGTTCTCAGACCGACTTCACTAGTGGGCATGAATAACTCTGCAACTTGATCATATAATAAAGTGAGTGGACCAGATATAAAGTGAACTTCTCATAACTTGGAATTCTTAATATGATTGTAACAATTATTCCAAAAGAGGGAACCAAAAGTGCAGAGTTGAAGTCATTCCGCTCGTTTCTTGGCGTTGGATTTAGAGGGGATATTTAACCAAGAGGACCTTCCGCAGGTGCTTCGGTTTAAGCCAATGTGGTCACGGGCTGTTCAAGCTTACTCAACCACCCGAGTACACTCAACTTCAACTTAGAAACGACTCCAACTCAACTTAAACTAGTTTCAGATCGACTTGAACTCGGACTATGTGAATCATTAAGTCAAAATGACTCAAATTGGAATAATCCATCAAAATCCAATTCAATTTGATTTTATAAAAATCGATTAACTCAAGTCCCAAAGAACTGAACTCAAATAAATTTTCTTTGATCCTAATTGATCAGACCTGCCAAATCACCATCTCTGTAACCAATGTAGACTTAGTTTTACTAGTCAAAAGAGGTGCAGAAATGTATTTCGATTCTCATGTACGCATACTATGCTGGATTCCTTCAAATATTTGCAAAAAATAAAAAAAGTTATCACAAAATCTTGAAACTGCCATTCTTGATTAACTATTAAGTAGGTCTGCAATCAAAAAACTTGGATACATGAAACATGAATAAATGGATAACACAAATTATTGAGGTTTCCTATAAAATTGAATATTGAATACAGAGAGAGATCTGGACTTCAATAAATTACAGATCATGAAGTTAAATAGTTACCATAAACGAATCGATGCACAACTACCACAATTACTCCAAAACGGATTATCTATGTAATATTTAAATAAGGAACTTGTATTGCTTTCATATACGCTTTACTTCTGAAGTATTTAAATGACCTGCAAAGTAACCGAGTCTTATGGTGCACATTGCTAGAATGTGCATGGTCAACTTGTACATCACCGGTTTCAATGCCCTTCCCTTTTCAAATTATATGATATCACTGTGAAAACTTTGAGATCAACTTGTCAACATGAATTATGATATCATCAATACAAGGCCGAACAGCAGCCTGAGGCTGAAGCATCCATGTCACAAATTGGTGAAGAGCTTCTGGATATGGCGGTTTAGGTCCAGCTGGCCACTTAATCTGTGCATTTACAATGGCCAATTGCAGGCTTCCTCCTGATTCTCCAAGTGCATACTCGAATGGGGATACCCCATACCTGGAAGAAATGACAATTAACAAAAGTATTAAGTAAAGCTGCAAACTATATATACCAAAAAGGTTCACTTGCAGAGGATAAAAGCATTTTCAAAAGGCAAAAGAACCAAAGAGAAATTATAGCACCACATGAAAGTACAACTACTACAATTGCTTTAACTTGTTTCTGCATAGCATTTACATTTACGTTTACATCCAAGGTATAGAGAGAGACAGCACAACCCTGACACACACAAAAAGAAGTGAAAAATAACAGTAGTGAATGAAGAAGAATTAGTTCATTTGAAGACTGAAGGAAGGAACATGAAACTCCAACAAGAAAAGAGACAGTTTTTATCAAGGTATCATTCAAAAAACAAATTAGTAGGCCCAACTTTCTGTGAGTATCCTGCTTACTGTAATGTCAAACTCACATGTGTGCTTAACATAAAGTACATGTCATAAGTCGCCCACTAATGATTAACATTATAAATGCATCAATTTCTTATAAATGAGTTTATATGAATGGATTACATGTGTATTACAACTGATTTCCTTGTCTAGAGACACAGGTAAAAGATATTGTGGCAAAACTTTAGATATACAGTAGAACAACCTGTAAAGATATTTTAAACTACTGTCTTGCCTCTGCTACTCTGATTCAATTCACACATATTACTCTCCATGAAGATAATGAAGTAACAAAGGCTATCAAACAAAAAGGCAGATCGATTAGTTTCTTCACACATTCTTTAGGCACTCTCATGGTTCATGGTCAGAGATGTCCATGCAGAATGGCATTACATAGAAAAGTCTGCCAGGTACCAATCATAACATGATGCACACTCACAACACTTCAACATCAGATGACATCTTGTTAAGATTTTCCAAAAACCATAATTTTCACAAGGTCATTTTTGTTGAAGCACATGAGATCACAATGTCCCATTTTTGTAGCATGCAGTTATACCTATTTGTTGTGAACAAAAAGTTTTTCGGGGCACAACCACTTGTCCAGGGCTGAATCTCAATCAATTAGGTTGGATGCAATCATCACTCCTCATATCAACACCAATGGACAACTTCATGAAAATACAGAAGCTTAGCATTATAGAACTTTCACATCTAATACTTTAAATCTACTCCTCAGATTAAGCTTGAAAGGAACCAATAAATAAATTCCAGCCACAAGACTTCCCCAGATATGTTGTTTAATATATTGTTTGACGAAGAAACTTGATGAACAACGATGAAATGACAGAAGTACAACAAAAAAAGTTTATAAAATGAAAGCAAACACTGCATAAGTGCATGTATAAGTATTAATTCTTACATTATTGCATATAAAGTGCATCCCAATGACCAAATATCAGTTCTCTCATCAATATCTGCATGGCTTGGGCAATCCCACAACTCAGGAGCTCGGAAAGGTGCTGAACAGTGCTCAGATGCCCATTCCTACATATGAAACAAAATCTAACCATAAGCATCAAGGAAAATGCATTGAGCTGACAGACAGAAAAATGTGTCTTACAATATTACATTTAAAATTAAGCATAAGATGTAAGGATGACAATGTGTAGTGCCATAAGACAATGCAATAAATTATTATGGCATTTAAAAAAAAAAAAAAAGAATATTAAGTTGTTTATGATGATGAAAAGGAAAATGCATCATAGAAATAAGCATATCATGTCTTTATCTGTCGTTTTATATATGTTTAAATAATTAAGCGTATATTTGTCAGTAGAACAGCAAGCATTCAGATTTAAGGAACTTTGGTTATTTTAAAAAGTTATAAAGCACATAAATAAAAGTAGACTTTTCAGCACTGAGAAAAATAAAGAAGCAATAAGTACCTGAAGCTGTAGTGCCTCAGAACGAGAGCCAATTTGCTTCCTTGCAGGACGAGCACTCCCGAAATCCATCAATATAGAAAGAGGTGGTTGCCCTTTTCTACAGGTTAAAAGAACATTACCAGGCTTGACATCATTATGTGCATATGGAGGCTCAAGACTGTGCATATGTTTGAGTCCTGCACACAGCTGTGGAAATAATTTGGTCCAGTCAAAATCCTTACAGCCATCTCCAATCAGTTATGACATCAATAAATCCAAAAATATGAAACCCTATTAAGAGGAATACTAAAACAGAGAAAGAGAAACAATTAGAAAATTGAAGCCAGATGTTAAAGTATAAAGAAATGCATCCACTAATAATAAGTGCCATATGGTTATCAATTCAATCTAAATGAGAACGTTATTTCAAGCCCTTAGAAGTGTATTACAAAAGGAATGGCATCACATAGTCAAAATGATAAGAATTGTTAATCGCACCTGCCGAAATATCTGAAGAACATCTGAGGTTGAAAAGAATTCCTTTTTAGCTTTCATAGCGGTGGTATTGTCCAGTAAAGTTCCATCCAAATGAACAGGAAACAGTAAGTATGCTTCATGATTCCACGAGCCTTCTTGTGTAGGCTAGCCAATGAAATCAAATTGATTTAGACAAATACAATTGCATGAAAAGTAATTTGAAAGATGAAGAAGAAGAAATAAGCCATGAAGTGAAAAAGAGAGGACCTTCAAAAGTAGTTCCCATTGCAAGTTTTACACCACTTTTATCGGTACATAAGTAGATAAATTCAAAAACATTAAGACACATGTAACCATATTTAAGGTTAATTAGAATAAGAGATCTGAATAATTACCTTGACAGCAATGATAGCATGATCAAGAAGCGGAAGCAAATTAGGGTGACTAAACAAGGAGGACACACGGATCTCCTCCCGAACCAATTGCAACTGCTCATTATTCTGAATGAGAACTTTCTTCATAGCATAAGTTCCATCATCTGCAAATGCAACCCCACTTAAGTCAGTTCCAAAACTAAGTTAACTTACTCATTGATCCGATGAGTAGACAAGTTTTTAAATAAAATAATAAAATCCAGCAAATGGCAAAGGTCACCATCCTTGATATATCCCCAAACAAAGAAAGGTAAGCAAATCCATATAAGATGTAAATTCAGATAATAAAAAGAAACAAAGGCATAAATCTAGAATCTGATAGCAAGAAGTCAAACCATCATAAGTTAAGGACGTGATAACTCCAAATTCAGTACAAAATTTTATGTCAAACCAGCCATAGCATTTACAACAGAATTGAGATCAAAGTTTTAACTGATCTATAATTTTAGTTAAATAAGTCCACCGAAAGTAACATGATTATCACCGAGGATTCCACTTTTATACCCAAAAAATTTAATTTTATGAGATAATCAGATTACTGTGCCTATAGGGGCAAAGAAGATCCGCAGTGCAATTAATAAGCCACAAGAGAATAAACCCAAAATTTTAGCATAAAAATCTTAAGGTCATACCATACTGGTTTCAATTTTACATAGACAAGATATTTGAATTTCCAATAAAACAGCCACATAATATCACCAAACTTCAATTATAAAAAACAGAATGCAAGGAATCTATGACTTCAGTCATAATAAGTTAACAAAAACAAGATAACAGACACCAGAATTCAATTAAATTACAATAAAAAATCACTTAAAACCCTCCAAACAAAAGCCAAAAACACATCATTTCAGATCACAAACCAAAACGCTCAGATAATCAAATCCCCCCCCAAAAAAATCAAACAAAGAACAACAAATGCGCAATTCAGGAAAACATATAGCTAAACAGAAGATTCTAACTAATTAGAAACTGAAAGCAATCAGTAATTAAGATTTAAGAAACACCCAGATCACTCAAAAACCAATCGAATAGAGAAATACCCAAATCGTAAAATCCCTGAAAAGATAAAAGATAAAACTTTTTGAATTGGAACGAACCAGAGAGATGAGAAGGGTCCTTGACTTTTTTGGCTAAGCCAGAAGCTGAAGCTGAAGAGGAATCGGACATGACTTCCTTAACCAGGAAAACATAAGCGAACCCACCTTCACCCAGTTGCCTAACGATCCTGAACCTGTTGTCGTTGATCCAAACGTCCCCTCCCCCATTGACGGCGTCGTATAATGCATTCAACCCTGAAAATGTACACCCCATTATTTCCACTGTTGCTGCCTTCAACTCAAAAAGTATTCCTTTAGATCTTCAAGCTCTCATTTTTTTTCCTTTTGGGTCTGTCAGAATTGGAGAAATGTAAAAATGGTAGATCTCGAGAAGCTCTCTCTCCTTCTCTACCCTCTGTTTGGACTTTAGATAGTTTTTAGGTTAATAGTTTTCAGCTTTTGAAGCTTTCAATTTCATGTCAACAATAAGTTTTATGAGACTCGGGGTTTTTGTTTGTTATTTTATTATTATGGTTGGTTTGCAATGTATTGTATATTGCTTGCTGCTCTTTCTATTTATTTATTTAAATTTATTTTTTATTGGATCGTTAAAATGACGATAAAACAGTAACACACGGGATTTTCAATTTTGCTTCTTGACACTCCACTTTCTCAGCTTCCACTCCTTTATTTACGTTGGGATTGGCTACCGTCAGTTTCACGCGACTGCACACATGAAAATGTGGCGGGCGCCACTGACGCTGGAGTTTTGGAAAGTGTAGTTCTACTTGAGGCATCGTAAAATTGCTGGGTAGATCTGATATAATCGTAACCGTCCATTTATTAGACTAAGTAGAGACAGTCATTTTCTCTGAAGATGATCACTGAAAACCCTGATGATCTGAGCTTGTTTTACCTGTTAACTTGTTTAACAGAGATTTTATTATTATTATTATTACTATTATTTTTAATTTTAGTATTTGATTTTATACTAAGAATGGTCTTACTGTTTAGTACATGATACGATAAGAATATTGTTCTTGTTGAAAAAAATAAATACGGTGAAATACTATATAGCATAAAATAAAATTTAACCTTTTTTTTTAATTTTCTGAATATGCTAATCCGGTGCAACAATAAAAATGAAGTAGATAAGTATTTGACTTTGACAATTACGATGAATTTGAGGACATTGAAACTGTTGTATAAAGAATTACTTATAGCATTGCGTAAGTGAGTTTGTGTGTTGGTATAATTCGCCCATTGTTACAACACAAATCTTCTGCTGCTCCCTCAGATCAACGTAATGTAATTTATTCGGTTGATCTCACACCACAGTTGGTTTTAGTAGCTGGTTGTTGCTGAGTGATGCAATGTATGTTTCCACCTCCCAAAACAATTTCTCTAGCACCTTCAATTCTTACCACCTGAACCCCAAACAAAAATATATAGAATTAAATAAATAACTGAAACAAAGTTCATGCAGTCCAAGACGACATCATGTCCCAGAAAACATGCAATGAAGTCATCTGATTCACCTGCTGCGGAAATTCAAGCAAGTCCATTCTATTGTGTGGAAAATATCATCATGCATTTACTTTAGAGAAAGGAAGAATTTGCATTTTTTGTCAATGTTAATCAATTATTTCTTCTGAAATACACAATTCCAATGGATGGGCCATTTGGATTTTGCAGTGCAAGTCTGCTTTAAATTGCAGATCATGTCAACCAGTTTGAAATGAGAAAGATTAATTGCTTACACCAAACTAATCAGTGAAAAGTCTCCCAGAACTTGATCACTGGAATAGTTTGGAACCTGGAAGTGATTCATTTGACAGCAAGGGAACAGCACGTATTATGTGATAATTTCTTTACGGCCTAAATAAAAGAACAGCTACTTGAATGGAGTTTCTGTAGTTCATATACATGAGTCACAATTTTAGTCAAAAGCCTTAAGTCCCAGGTACATGACCAGAGAATTAGTATATCGATAAAATTGTCAGATTGTTCAGAACTGCTAGCTTTAAATCATCTTAACTTCTAAGAAATAAACTCAGCATCAGGTAAATTCTACCAGTGAATATAAAAAACTTTTATGCTTTTTAAATTCAACATTCAAATCTTTACCATTATCCCAGTTTCCTTTTCTCAAATTCTATATCAATCTTGGCCATGTCCCTAATCTTCTGGGGTTGCTTTCTTCACTAAGAAATGGAACTTTTGTATTTATGTTATTGCCAAGATACATTTTCGACATAATTAATTTAGCCAATTAAATGCACTTAGTTGGTTAAGATATGTTGAGAAACATTTTCAACATAATGAATTTCACCAATTAAATATCCTAAGTTGGTTAAGATGTGTTGAGATGCATTTTCGACATAGCCAATTTAGCCAAATAAATGTAGTAAGTTGTTGAAGATGTAAAATTAATTAAGCAATTAATTTGCATATAAATGTTTGAGTATAGATGTTGATATATTCTCTCAATTAAATTTTGATTATATAACATGAAGTTAAATTCAAAAGATTAAGATGTTTGTTAATAAATAAAATATATCTTAACCAAGTTTAGCTGTTAGCGATGTTTTAATTTGAGGAGAAATGAAACTATTCAGTAAAGTTAAAAGGCTTCAAGATTGAGAAGCATGTAGGGCGAAAGGGTTTCAAAATGTGCAGGTTAAAAAGTTCCAGGATTGGTAAGGTTAAAAGGTTTCGAGATGTGCATGGTTAAAAGGTTTTAGGATTGGTAAATTAAAAAGGTTTCAAGATTGAGAAGCATGCAAGGTTCAAAGATCTTGGATTGCTAAGGTCAAAAGCCTAGAGGATTGAAAAACTGTGTCATGGTTGAAAAGCCTTGAGAATTGGAAAACATGCCAAGATTGAAAAGCCTTGACGATCAGAAAGCATGTTAGGTTATAAGGTTTAAAGATTGGAGTAAGATTGAAAAGCCTTAAGGATTGGAAAGCTTGTAAGGTTAGAAGATTTTAAGATTGGAGAGCATTGTAATATTAAAAGGAGTCAGGATCAGAAAGCTTGTAAGCTTTTCAAGACAGGAAAGCATTGTAAGGTTAAAAGGTGTCATGATGGGAAATATGGTTAGAAGGTTAAGAGGTTTCAAGATAGGAAAGCATTGTAAGGTTAAAAGATTTCAAGATTGGGAAGCTTGTGAGGTAAGAAGGTTTTAAGATTTAAAAGTTTGTACTTAAGAGGTGTCAAGATTGGAAAGCTTGTCCGGTTGAAAAGCTTTAAGGATTGCAATGCATGTAAGATGGAAAATCCTTAATATGTGGAAACCATGTAGGGTTCACAAATCTTAAAAGATTGCAAAATGTGCAAAGTTGAAAAGACTCGGGGATTGGATACAATTTAAGGTTGAAAAACTTTGAGGATTGCAAAGCATGCAAGGTTGCAACGCCTTAAGGCTTTAAGAATTGGAATATGGTTAGTCAAACTAAGTAAGGGGGGTTTCTTACGTTTCAACCAAGTGGATATTTGCACCAAGAAAACATTCTTAGGAATGAAGTGTATCCAAAGTTGTAGGATTGTTAAGCCTGAGAAACTAAGCTTGATCTTGATTGAATTCTTAAGTTGTCAGGACTAAGCTTATCCAAATTTACAAGTTAGTAAGCTTAGGCCTTCAAGTGATTCTCAATCTTGACTAAAGTTCACAAGCTGATAAGTTTGGAAGGCTCAAACCTTTAAGAAGTTTAGCCATGGCCAAGGTCAAAAGTAAAAGCAATGGCACATTATTCCATTTACTAGAAGGTATACTTCAAGTAAAGCTAAAAGATCGACCATGTTGCATAAATTAACGAAAGACCATAAGTAGGATGTCACCCTTACCTGATGCTTCATAGGCTTAAGCATCACATAAGAAAAATAAGGAAAGCTTGTACCGATTTTATGATCTGAGAAAAGACTAAGGCACTTCTAAGCTAAGTGAAGGAAGTGAGGAAAGCTGAGACTGAAAAATTCAGGTTTTAAAAGTGACGTCTTTTGTGGGATGTCAAGAAAGCTAACTTAATATCCTTTCTCTTCTTGTGTCTCTCTTTAGCGGGTCCTAAATCTTGGGAGATCATGGGTAGTTATCAACCCCATGTTCAGCCTTTTCAGGAAGGTGGAAGAGTGTTCAATTGCAGATTACATGTGGCAGGCTTGTATCAAGATTCAATTAGTATAAGTATAAGATTTGAAGAAGGGATTCCAGAAACAAGAACAAAGCACTTTATCTTAACATTTTTTAAGCTTTTGTATAGTTTTAGCCTTGGCCCATAGTTCCTAGTTTCAACAGTTTTAGCCTTTAAACTTGTAATTCCCCATCTCTGCTATAGTTATCAGAGGTGAGAACCCTTGGATTGTTTGATCAAGGTTAGACTGTCAAGCTTGTACCAAACTTTGTATCAACAGTTATCTCCTAATCCACCCATTAAGTGATACACAAGGTCTCCAAGCAATGAATGAAAGTTAAGATTCACTATTTGATAAATCAGTTAAAAACTTTTTTATTTATCATTCTCATCCTAAGCATATTTACGTTTTACTTGCATAACTAGAATGAACCTAAATATTGCACCCATCATGGTTCCTACCAAACACATATTGAACAGAAATTCTTGCTTACTTCATAGTCTGGAAAGGCTTGGGAAAGGACACGAACAGCTTCATCATCCCACTTTTTGTCCCCAAATTGTGGTGTGATGATCCCTCCATTGGCGAAATAGAAGTTTACGTATGAAGCAGCAAGTCTTGTACCTGGAAGTCTTGGTTTAGCCACACCATCCTGTTGTTAGACACATCATAGGCCAGGAAAGAACGCACAATAAGACCCTTTTCTTTAGGCAGGAACAACTAGATAATAACGGATAAAAAGTTAAAGCTTAAATTGAGTGTCTGATTATTGAATTATTTGGCATTATAGTGCTCTTTTTCACTAGGTTTATGTCACTACCAAAGAGAGGAGGATACAAGTCCAAAGGTCAATCAAATAATAGTTTTATTGGCAAAATTATACTCAATTTTTAGAAGATGTGCAAAATTATATTCAGAACTAGAGAAAACTGAAGATAGTAACTTTTGTCATGGATCATCAAAGAAGCTATAATATTTAATGCTATATTAACAGGGAGAAAAACAACTGCACTAATCTTAAAAGCTGCAGTTGCCTAGTACTAAGTTGGATGTTGATGGAGATGGACTAAGATGCAGAGACATGGGTAAAAAGAAATGCTTACTTGAGCAACTCCAGCAGCTTCTTCATCTGTCAGGAAAAGTGGTCCCGGAACATGGAGTTTAATTATTTGCAATTTCCGACCAGAAGCATCTGTAGCATTTGAGAGAATAGAAAAGGCTTCCATGGAACGTTCATACTGGGGGTCTGTTTCATCATCAGTCCAAGACAACAAAACAACACCGGGCTCCGCAAAGCAGCACATATTATCAATGTGACCGTTAGTATCATCATCACCTGTTAAAAACCAAATAGATACTTTCAATTTGAGTAGACATATAAAAGTGTGTAAGAGATCTTCAGATTTGCCTCTGCTAGTGGATAGTCAATAATTGCTGCAAGGCACAGCTATCCTCCAAGGAAATTGTTCCAGACTTAGAATGTTAAAGATATTTCCCTGAAGGGGTTTGTATTTCAGATAAGTAGACTTGCACAAGGATAAACAACAACATTGAAGTTACGCAATTGAAAAATCATTCCAAAGTTTAAGAGGTTTATAGATTGCTTGATATATTATTGAGGTTCATCTTAAAGGTTTTGACTGATATTTGTGTGCGATAAAAGAGACAAAAATAGTACACATTTACAACATTGAAGTTATACAATTGCAAAATCATTCCAAAGTTTAAGAGGTTTATAGATTTCTTGATATATTACTAAGGTTTATCTTTAAACAGTTTTGACTGATATTTTTGAGCAATAAAAGAGACAAAAACAATACACATGTTTATCTGTAGTCTTGTATCAATCAGTGTGACAATGAGATCATATAAAGATGCAATGCTGGAAGAAATGATGTTCCACCGAACCCAACAAAAAGAAGAAATATCGAGCACTTATGAATTCATAAGAAATTTGAGAAATATAAATCAAAGAGGAATCAAGACAGAATTAAGTACCATATAATCCACGAGGCAACCAAATAACCTTCTTGACCCCAAGATATGCCTTAAGTTCATTCTCTATTTGTTCTTTGGTCATATTTGGGTTCCTGTTTTTGTTCAAAAGGCACTCCTCGGTGGTAAGGCAAGTCCCTGTGGGAAAAGCAAAAGCTGAATAAATTCTAAAAATGGCACATTGCTAGATGGGAAAAGCATTTGAAATTTGAAGGGTTGCTCATCTAACAGAACAACATCATTTTCTGAAACATACCACATTAATTGTGTAGTGATGGATCTAATAATGTGTAAAAGATATATGTAATTCTTTGCACCTTCTTTAGGGATGGGTTTGACACCAATTATTGCATCGCAGTACATGATTTGGAAACAATTAAAAATCATTATTGGGTTGCAAAAACATTTTTTGCAAACAACTTCTCATTAATAGAACAGGAAAGGGGACTGCAGAAGGAAGAGCAGAGCAAGTCATCTTTCAAGCACATAATCTAAACCCTCCACCTTTTCATAGCTTAAGCATTCAAAATCCATGGCTGCCAAAGAAAGCAGCTAGAAGAAAGACAGAAAGAGGTGATTGCAGATTCTACCGAGACTGCATGGAAAACAGACTACTTTTACAAGTAGGGTTAGAGAGCAAACAAAACTAAATGGAAAAAAGAGATACAACTAACTGAATTCCTGTTAAGGTTTAAGTAAAGTTCTCCTCAAGAGATACACAAGTGACGATTGGACCATCACAGTAGTTCTCTTATCAGGGCTCTCATAATAGTTTTCAGGACTAAATGATTAAAAAAATAGATAAACAATAAAAGCCAAGCCAACTAGTTTCCTATGCAACTAAAATAATTTGCAAAAGGCTAGAGATAGCAATTAGACAGAGCAAGGCCGGTCACTTTGTACTCAGGTTTTTCAGGTTTGACACTCAGGTTATTTGGGTACTGGTCATTTTGAGTTCAAGTTGTTTGACTTTTGTAGTAAAATCAATTTCATTTCAGGTAATTTGGGTCAGGTTGTGTCACACAAGTTCAGGTTTAAAAAGGTCAGACAGGTTCTTTGGATTCAGGTCAGTTTTGCCACCTCTACATAAGGCATTCCAGGTGGAACCTTTTAATACTAATATTTTATTAGATGTTATGAGAAAAGAGAGATCAGCTTTGCAAAGAGCTTCATATGAAGCAATCAGATTTGCTTGTTTGCAAAGAGCTCCAGATGAAGCACTCAGGCCGCAAGCAGCCTTGTCTTGCTCTCATTGCAGAACTCATCATCCATGCAGATATGAAAGGATGATATAACTAACAGTTTTGCATGATCACATAACATTAGCAAGCTAATTTTGCATTGATTTTTTTTCGGAAATCAAAATAAAACTAAAAAAGCTAATCAAACAGCATATAGATTATCACCTTCTCCATCTACGTGTATGCTTCCACCTTCAAGAATCATAGTATGTGAAAATCTAGGAAACCTCTCAATTCCCAATATCTACAAACAATAAAGATAAAGAACAACTGTCTGAAATATTAAGATGCATTAAACCTGAACAAGTATGTAACTAAAAAAGATAGCAAGTTTTGTTCTGTTTCCAGCACTAACCTTCCTTGCCACAAAAAGGTCAAGACTCCAATCTTTATAACAACCATCATCAACCCCTAGAAAGTTCCATGATGAATTCCTTTCAGGGAAGATACATAGGAGATAAAACGCTATTGTAAACCATGATAAATACTAATACATTAGTATTGTCAACATTAAGGCCAGACTCTCATGATCAACAAAATATGCAGTCAAAGTAGAGGTTTTAACCCAACAAATTAATAAGCTTCAGCATTCCATTTTCACTTTTTAGCTCCTCAATATACAGAGTTTAACCATCATTTGCAGAAATTTCAGCCAACTAATTCAAATGATAAAAAAATGCAAATTTGAAGGTAAGATGTTAATTTTAACCCATAAGTTTGGGCATCCAATTTCACATACAGAATACAAATCTACCGGTCCACCTCCCATATTTGATAAACGCTTAAATGTTGAATTAGGTTACATTAGTTCTAGGATAATATGACTCCAGCTAACTGTAAAACCATCATTTCAAGTTTCAATAAATTGATTGACTGAAGCACAATAAGTTACAATCATTTCAAGTTTCAATAGATTGATTGCCTAAGTTACATTAAGTAACTTCTATTCTTACCTCCCCAGCTATTGAAATTCCAATCAATCCCAGCAATCTTTTGCTCAGGACTACCAGAACTTGGTTCTCTTTTAGTTACAACAAACTGCAAGAGGGGAAAAAATAAACAATAATTCTTCTAAATATTTTTATAAGGAAAAGCTGTTCTGGGTTACAATAGGGAATCCAACTGAAGACAATCCTTTGTAACACATTCAAGACCAGGTGAGATCATAAAAAGAGAAGACAAGCTCACAGTTGGCCCAGTATCACGAAACCAAGAGTCATTCATGCTCATTTCAACAACCCTGATATTTGGTGGTAACTGACTCCGTGCATTGGCCCACTGTGCATAAAATTAATTAATCCATTAAAATTCAGTTGAAAACACATTTAAGACTTACCTATGAGACAGGATTTACTCTCTAGAACTTCTACCAACCTGAGCAGCACTTGCACAGACGGTCACAAACTCGAACTTTGAGATTGCAGTTGCAACCTTGGCAAACATGTGTTGACTGTGCACTGCGTTGCCTCGCCAATTATCGGGACGTTCCTGAAATGCAAGACAGTTTTAAATTTGTCATAACTCGTAACAAACTCCGAGCATGAAATTAACATAAAAAACCATCTAGTCTTCTAGACATAAAAGTGGATAGTTATATCTTTAAATAAAGATAATTAGCAGCATAAGTCCCAAGAACTATAAGACAGAAAAATTATATATTGCAGCCAAGGACCAGGGAGATGAACAGTATTTTAGCAGCGCAACCAAATGCATGCTGATAATGTGATGGCATTAAAATTTTTGATTTAATACAGGATTGAAGCTGAACTGCTAATAACCAATGGCTGCTCAATGCTCAGTTACAACAAAAATATATCAAAAACCTGAATTTTGCAGTGTACAATCAGATTAACGCGTATCAAATTCCTAAGACAACAGTTAAATACTTCAAAGCTTCTAGATCAAATATTGATTTCAATTTAATATCTAAAAGAAAAAAAACACTAGCAAGATAGTAAGCAGTGAGAAGTTCATAGATGTAGCTCTAAACTCTAACTAATAAAACCCAGTGCATGAAAACACCACAAAACACGCACAGAAATCAAATGCATCAAGCAGTTTGATGACTATGGTTTGAAAACAAAAAAAAAACTGCAATATCAGGCAAAAGCCAATAGACATGCAATGAAATTGGAAGAGAAAACTGTGTCAGGATAGGTAAAATATGAGAAGAAACTCATCAACCAAAAGGATGCCCTTCAATTCTGACTCATGCCCATCTAAGATGAAACAGAGAGAAAAGTCTTTACAGACGGGCTAAACACTTTTAACATCAAACAAAAAAGAGGGTTGGTTTAAGAATCAATAAGGAAACAAATAAGAAATAATACTCACAGGCCAACCCATCCAACACTGAAAATGGGGTTCCCACTCTGCTGGCATATGGTAGCCAAGCTGAGAGGGAGTCCCTTTCATCTCCATCGCCCACACTTCTCTCTTTATCTGCCAATACTTCTGATCTCGAGGTTTTGACAAAATAGAGAGGAGAGAATATATATGTATATAAGGATGATGACTCAAACTGACTGACTGACTGACTGTCTGCAGACACAGCCGACGGACCTCTGAGATACTGATTTATTTTGCAAGTTGCAATTAATTTAGCAGAGACCGTCGAGAATATTTTACCGTTTTCTAATTATTACTATTATACCTGAACTTACTTTTCACCGTGGAGACATGGCAAGACTGGAGGGACACGGGTAAGTAAAGTGTAGTATGTACCGTTGAGTCTTTAGAAGAGTTACTGTTTATTATTATTATTATTATTATTATTATTTTCAACTTTGAACTCTGTAAAGCAAAAATGTTTTTTTTTTATTTTTTTAAGGATGTTTTTATTAGGCATTTTCCGCGCTCAATAATTATGAACTAAAGAGAGAAAGGAAACGCAGAGGAAAGGTATGATGACATTTCAATGTTTCCTTTTCTTTCTTTCTTTCTTTTTTCTTTTTTTTTAAATATAATTCTATGATTCTGGAAACATGGTTCAGAAGAACTACCGGAAAATTTTTAATAGTCATCTCAACTTCGGTTTAACTTCTGGGTACTTGTTATTTCTTGAGTTTCGGCTTCTGGCTTTTTATTATTTGTGATTGCTTGTTATTTGTTGCTGAACTTGATGACTTTGAGTCTTTGGCATATCCTTGGGTGCTTGTGAGTCAAATTTTTATGTTTGGTTCGTTCTTCTTTTGGACCTTGAGAGTAGGGTTGTTGGTTGTGTTAATTCATTCAAGAGCACCAAAAAGAAATTGAAAACCATGCTCTTATTGCCGTATTCTTAGTTACTTTTTCTGGGGATAATTGCTTGTATTCATGCAATCGGTATATGTTTGTAGTATACTGGAATGCAGAGTTATTATTGCTTTAATTAATTGATCATTGGTAGTAAAAAAGTGCTGTCAGATGCACAAATTCTTCACTTAGTTTCTGAAATTTATTAGATTATGAAATTCACTGCTAATGAGCAATATCCTTCAGTTTATATTACTGCTAGTATTTGACAATTAGTTTATCAGCATTTCTTTGATTATTGTTCTTAGCTTATTTCACAGGGGAAAGGAAGAGGTTAAAAAGAAAGAGGAACTAACGTCCATAACTCAGGCTGGTCTGATAGAAAAATGTTTTATACATTTTTTATGAAGGAAACATTGAAAGGACAATCAAGATAAAACTTCTCTTTCCAATATGCTTTTGCTCCTGGATTCATTTGAAAGCTCCTTAGTTTTATGAGTATTGATCCGATAACTGGTTGGTATGTACCTGTGTCCTTTTCACTTTTGTGGTTTAGTCCTTTTTCACATTCTACTGGCCCAACTAAATTACTTTAGAATTCCCAAAAGTTATTAACTTGTTGATATTACAGCTTGTTTGTTGAATTTTCACTACCATTTTCACCTCATATTTTACTGTTGCAAATACTAATTATATTTAGTTGCAGACTTCTACCCTAGTTAATGCAGATTCGTGCTTCTTAAAATTCAGTAATTTGATTGCCATCTTGCTGTAACAAAGTATAAATTTTTACTTTTTCTCGATGCAGCCTGAAGGAGAAGTTTGCTTTCATCTCTTAAATGGCTCAAGATACTTCTGGTGCTAAATCACCAAGGTGACATTCTGGACTTTTGCGAGGCCAGGTGCAGTTGGTTATCGTTATGAGATTGTTCCAATCAAAGATCCACTTTCCTTTGAGAAAGGTTTCTTCATTGTAAGAATTTCTTACATGCCAATTGTTGGCCCAAAGGAATGATGGATTGATTTTAGTTGGAGTAGCAGGACCATCTGGATCTGGAAAGACTCTGTTCACTGAGAAGGTGCTCAACTTTATGCCCAGCGTAGCTGTCATAACAATGGACCACCACTACAAAGATTCTAACCATATTGTTGATGGCAACTTCGATGGTAAAATCTCAAATTCTTTCATTCTTCTGATTGTTTACATAAAGTCATCAAAATAATCAGCAGAGTTTGTTGACACTGGTGGCTTCTTATTTGATCCTTCTAGTTTGAATATCAAGGATAATCATGTATGAGAAAAGTGGACGCTACCAGATATAACATGCTGGTGGTAGTGGGCTGAAGATTTGCGGCATGGTATGCTATTGGAAACATCTATAGCAAAGAGCTTCATCTGACTGCTAAGGCTGTTTCATTTCTATGTTGAAAAAAAATTGGAATGGACAATTAAAGGAGATTATCGATTCTATTATATAAAATAGAACAATGTAGCATTATAAGCAGTATGTGAAACTTTACATGAAGCTGCTTGACTTACACTGGATTGCTGAGTATGAAAGACATCTAAGTATGTGAAAAAGACTGTCATTAAAGTAGGGCTGACAGTAAGAGAAAAAATTATAAATAAGGTCCAACTCAATGAAGTTCAATCACTTATACTGCCATATCAATCAGTGGCTGCTTTTGTTTGACCATAGTACCAGGATGCTCTAAAGTCTAAGTGAATTCTCAGTGTTGGTAAACTGGAGCTTTTCTCTAGATGCTCTTGTTGCAGCCTAGTTTTGGGTTTTAGGCATTTTTTAATATGTGTTGAATGGAGCCTACAACAGATGTTACGTGTACTCAGGTTAGATTAGAGAACATTATTGGTTGGTCAATAGGCCTTGAAGGTATATTTGATGACTCCGGGTTTAAGAAAGACTGAAAAAAGCATAAAATCACTACTTTAAAAACTGAAATGAATTGTATAAGTAGAAAGTAAGAAGCCTTGAACCATGAGCTGTTAGTACAAGTAGTTTCAAGGCACAAAATGTAATGCTCAAAAGCTATGTACCTTAAGGTGATGCCAAAGGTTATTCTTAAATGTAATTCCTGAAGATGGATGATTTAATATAGACTGAATACTTGCAGTAACTCCTGGAAGTTATGCACATCAAAGAGTTTTGGATCTTAAATGGAATACTTATCTCCATGAAACAGATTTGAATTTCAGTTATGGTAGCCTTATTCCATTAGGGATGAACTGATTTGGCAAAAATGGTGGAAAGGTTGGCCTGAATTCTTTTTATTTATAAGAGTAAAAATTCAAGGCATGTAAAGTTGGCATGGTGGTCTTGTAAACCACAGTGCTTCAGTCAAAGCTGCTGAATTATGTTAGAATACAGAATTTCATGATAACCGAAATTGGACAAACCCCATTGCTTTGTATCTATCAGTTATAGGTATAATAGTCAATTGTTGTAAAGACAGAGCATCTTTATTATTATTTTGCATACACATTGAATCTCATTAATTTTAGAATAACTTTTTTTCCTCAAAAAAAGAGTCCCATTTATGACTTGATTGGTTCGTATATGTAACATCAATTCTGAGCTTATCATGTGCTGCAAATTGTTCTAATCTGTGGAATCTTTTTCCTTACCTAGAAAGATATTGTACCGCAATGATTAAAGACTGGAGAGGGATGCATGGCAGAGCTCTGATAATTGTAGTGTTATGAAACACACCCAAGGTTGACTGATCTTGACACACTGCTTGAAAATTATACACGGTTTAAAATCAGGGAAACCTGTTCGAGTTCCTCTCTGGCTCTTGTATAGGATACAGGTTCTGTCTCTCCTTTATGCTTAGCTATTTTTCTAAGAACTCTTTTCATAAGGGTTGATGGTTTATCCACTCTTTCTGCCTGCTAGGAAGAAAGACGAGAAAAAGGAAGCAAACAAGCAGTGGGCTATTGGAAACAAATAGTGATTAGTACATGTTCTTGATCTTAGTTCCATCATCATACTGAATTTTGTACAAAATTCATAGCTTTGTTTAATATAGAAATAATTCATTGAAAGTGCTCATATATTGTTAGGGTTGCCTTTGTACAATGCTGAAGTGTTGAAAGAGTCAAACCATAGTAAAGCAGTAGCCATAGGGCACGGATTCAATCACTGATGTTTTTCGTATAGGCGGATTCAGGTGTCACTTTATAATGTTACAACAATTTTAGATTTTGTGGGATTTCAACCTTTGTACTTATCTTAAGATAATTTTTACAATCTCAACTAATCTAATTTTTTATAAAGTAATACTATAACAATATTAGTTTAATGGTGTAAATTTAAATATGTAAAATTTTATTACTAATAAGTATTAAACTCATAAGAAGATGGGAAACATTCAGTATTTGCCAATTTTAAACTTAAATTGGTATTTAATGGATTCGGATAATTAATTTTAAGCTTAAAGGGATATATAATGAATTTGATTAATTAATGGATAGTTCTTTACCATTAGGATTGGTTTTGAATAGTTTTTTTATAATTTTATGCAAGTTTTAATAAGATTTGTATATTTTGATAACTAAACCCTTTTGAATTTGGTATCTCAAAAATAATACTTACTCTACTCGTTTACATCTCTATCCTCATTAGTAATAAAATAGATAATCATAAATGATTTAAATTCTTTTTTAAAAAATAAAAAATAAAAAAGAACCAAATTGAAACAAAGAAATAAAGAGGGTGACCTTATAAAAATGCAACATTTAATTTAGTAATAGATGTAGGTGCTCGATCATAAATGCATATATCACATATCTCTTGATGAACTGGAATCCTTCTTTCTTAAATGAAAAAAAAAAATTCATTATTAGGTTATTTATCACTAATGAAAAAGATGCTAGTAAATGGGTTAAAGAGTGAGGCATAAGATAAACAGGTAGGATTGTAGTTTGTTTTTTTCTAACATAATGGTCAAATAAGATTTTAAACTATTTAATAAAATTTAAATAAATTTTTATTTTTTAATATATTTAATCAAGTTTTTATATTTTTATTTGAGTCATATAAACTCTTATAATTAATAATTAATTAATTATCATTAATCAAAATATTCTAAACTACTTGAGTAAGATAAACTCCTATATTCTAAACTATTTTAACTAATAGCAATTAGTCAAAATAGGTCAACATATTCACTAAATTCTTATATTCATGTATTTTGTTCAATTTAGTTTTAGTATTTAAAATCAAAAGAATTTAATTTATTAATTTTAAAAATTATTTCAATTTAATTATTCTTTTTTAATGATATTTAATTTTACTATTAAAAGAAAATGATGTTCACATTGATGTGATTTATTTTGATGATGTGACATATCATGTGACATTGACGTAATAAAATAATTATTTTTATTATATTATGAATATAAGATGTTCTCAACCGGAGATTATAATTGGAATCGGTTTTCTCCATTTTTTTTTTCTCAGCACTAAGTTAAGAGTGGGGCAAAAGGATTAAAAGAGAAGATGTGTGAAAGGAGAATTTTTTTTGAAAAAAAAAAATGAGAACAAAAGGAATGAAAGGAATAAAAAATAATAAAATAAAGAAAAACTAAAAATAATTTTGATTTATTGATATTAATCAAATAACCTTTTTTTTTAAAAAAAATATGGCAACATATCCCTTATGTTGTAACCGTTGCCAAAACCTAAGGTTTCCGTAGAAACGTATCCGAAACCTTTAAAAGCTTTCTATGTAAATTAACCTTTTCCCTTTTAAAAAAAAAAAGAATAACAGAAAAGTATAGGAACCGTGGAATTGCTTGGCTTCCTGCATGTAGCCAAAGCCACAAGGATATTTTTATCTTTTACTAGTGAAAGACGACATGACATAACGACAACGTGGTCCCAATTTTCTTTCTTACTAATCCAAAATCGGTTCATGTGTTTGTCTGAATTGCACAAGCTGGCTAAGCAACGCATCCTGTCGTTTCTTGCTAATGACATCCCACCATGTCACTGACCGTAACCCTCTCTGTCCACATAGTGATCACAAGAATCTTAACACCCCGGCCGCCTTTTACATAAAAATCCCTGCTGCCGCTGCCCGGTCTTAAGTTAATAGACTCCAAAGTCCGAATACTCAACAGACCACAACTAGGACAGAAAGGACATAACAAAGAAAAAGGTATGATGATATTATAATACTTAAAAAACTTGGTTCAAAGTTACCAGAAATTTTTACATAGTGATACTTGCTTGAGTTTAACTTCTGGGTACTTGTTATTTTTTGAGTTTTCCCTTCTGGGAATTTGCTATTTGTGTTTATTTGGTTGGTTGTCGCTGGATTTCATGGCGTTGAATCTTTTACTTATCTTTAGGTGCTTGTAAGTCCAATTTTTTTATGTTTAGTTCAGTCTTCTTTTGTACTATTAAATTTAATTCAGGCTTGTTTCTTGTGTTCATTCACTCTAGAGCAAAATGGAAATGAAAAGCATGATTATTTATCATATTCTTAGTTACTTTTCCTTGGTATAATTGCTTGTATTGAATCAGCATCTTATGTGGTTCACTTGAATGCAGAGTCATTATTATTTCGATCGATTGATGATTAGTGATAAAAACAAGGTGCCCTGAAATGCCATAAATTTTCATTTAATTTTTATGTTTAGAATTATGAAAGTTACTGCTAAAGAGTACTGCTAAAGAATACTATCCTTCAATTTGACTGCATGTTTTCTCAGTTTCTGGGCCATGTGATATCTAAGAGTTAGCTGATAAGCATTTCTGTGTCATGCAGAAGCATTTTGCAGTATTTTCTTTTGAACGCATTCTTTATTAGCTTCTTACAGAGGGGACAGGGAAAATTGTAAAAGAGAGAGGAAGTAATGTTCATAAATCTGGCCGAGGCTGTAAATGTTTTGCTGGTCATAAGATGTTTTATGCATTATGAATGTGAGGAACTTCGAAAGATAAATAATGCTTTGATTTCTCTTTTACTGATTTAAATGTTAACATTACACGTTTTGCCGGATTTTCTTGTATAATCTGGCATATGGATTCATTGGAAAGCTCCTTAATTTCACTATTACTGATCTAGAAACTGGTTCATGTGTTTGTGGTTTAAGCAATCTTAACTTTTGTCCTTTTCACATTTTATGAATCCTGCTAGATTTTATCTCTTTAGAATTTTTAAAAGTTATTAAACTTCTTTATATAACAGTTTGTTTGTTGAATTTTCAATCATTACCTCATATTTTACTGTCACTAATTACTAATTATATTTAGTGATGGACTTCTAGCTTTGTATGTGAGAAGTCATGCTCATCAAGAACTCCTTGATTTCTTTGCTATGTCATCCTCTTGCACTGAAAATGTATTTTGGACCTTTGCATCTTTCAGTGCAGCATAAACTCGAAGTTTGCTTTCATCTTTTAATGGCTCAAGATACATCTTCTGCTGCTGAATCACCTCGACGACGTTCTGGTCTTCTGCGGGACCAGGTTCAGTTGGTTAAGAAAAAGGACTCCGATCGCTATGAAATTGTTCCAATTGAAGATCCATTATCCTTTGAGAAAGGTTTCTTCATTGTAATTCGTGCATGCCAATTGTTGGCCCAAAAGAATGATGGATTGATTTTAATTGGAGTAGCAGGGCCATCTGGAGCTGGAAAAACAGTGTTTACTGAGAAGGTGCTCAACTTCTTGCCCAGCATAGCTGTCATAACAATGGACAACTATAATGATGCTAGCCGTATTATTGATGGAAACTTTGATGGTAATCTCAAATTCTTTTTTTATATATATTTTTTAAAGTTTTGTAAGGTCGTGATAATAATTGTCAAGGTTTGTTGTCACTGATGGCATCTTAATTGATCCTTTAGTTTGAATAATGAGGAGAATAATCTTTCTTGTCCATCTTAAACGTTTTGGTGGTTTGTTTCATATACAATAAAAATGGGCACTATCAGATATTGCATGCAACATGTGGTTGACAATTGTAGCATGATATGATTATGGAACTTCTATAGGAAGAGCTGCTTTTGTCTGCTAATGCTGTTTCATTTCTACTCTGAAATAAGATTTAGATGGACAATTGAAAGGAGATTATTGATTCAATTATACAAAATGGAATAAGCAATTTGTGAAACAGAACATTTAGTAGTACTCTGGATTGTTGAGTATGAAAGACAACTAAGTACGTGAGCAAGACTGTCAATAATGCATGCCTGATTGTAATTCGTAAGAGAAAAGATTATAATATAAGGTCCAAATCAATTAGATTCAACCGCATATACTCCATAAGATAATGGATTCCATGTTTATCATATGATTTGTCCTTGATATTATGAGATTAAGACCATAAGCTTTCCTAAGAACTCATAGGGTATGGTTTGTTGGACAGTTGTGCTGAGGTTGCTAAACTCTGGCATTCTGTGGTAGGTTGTTGGGCAGTGGCTGGTTTAGTTTGTTCGTGGTTAGTTCCAGGATGCCTTTTAGTGAATTCTTCTTGTTGGTAAATTGAAGCTTTTCTTAAGATGCTCTTGCTGCAGCCTGGTTTTAAGCTTAAGGCATTTTATATGTGCTGTGTTTTACTATGGAGCCTAAGACACAGAGGTTACTTCTTCCTAGGTCAGAAAAGAGAACAGTTTTGGGCTGAAAACTAATTGGTTGGTCAACAGGCCTTGAACGTAGGTTCCATGAGTCCTGGTTTAAGAAAGACTGAGAAAAGCACAATAAAAGAACTGCAATGACATATAAATTTAGAAAAAGTAAGAAACCTTGAGTAAGAATAACCTGTTTGTAGAAGTAGTTTTAAGGAACGAGATGCAACGCTCAGAAGCTAGGTACTGCAAGGTGATTGTAAAGGTTATCCTTAATGTAATTCCTCAAGATTAGCTGGTATAATATACATTGAATACTTGAATACTCTTGGAAGATATGCATGTGAAAATTTTGGATTTTAAATGGTATACTTATTTCAATGAACAGATTAGAATTTCAGTTATAGTAGCCTTATTGAATTAGGGATGGATTGAATTTGGGAAAAATAGTGAACAGATTAGCTAGGTATGCAGATGTGTTTCTTTTTTGGTGATTATCTTATTAATTTTAATTATACATTCTTCTAATAGTGCTTAATTCGGTGTGCTGATTGATGTTGGTGGAAAGATGCTATAAATAGATGTCATTCACTACCTTTGCTGATAATTTATTTGTAAATCTATCTAATAATTGCAAAATGAAACTTCAGTTGTGGGCTGCAGACTTACATTCAACTCATTTTTATAGCTATTTGCATTCTATAGTCTGATTTAAACTCTCTTCAAGAAAAAAATATTGAACATTCCGATGACTGATTTAAACTTCTAATAGTAATTCTCATGAGTTAATTTTAGATCATGATTTTATTATTTACAACTCTTAACTCTTTGGCATAGATTCATATTATATAAGTAGTTACTCCAACCCAATCTATGGAGGCTCATTACACCTTTTAGAATCCTTTCCAATGTAATAGTATTTTTAGTTCTAAATATTTGGTAGTTGGAATACAGAAGGCAACATGTCCATTGTACGTGGAATGAGAAATAGATGTGTAGTCAATATCACATAGGGAAAAATAGAATAAGAAACAAAGCTATTCTTTGAGAATGTTGAGACAAATGGTAGCCAAAAAGAAAATATGAATAAGAAATGGACTTATTCTTTAGAAGGTAAAAGTGGTAGATTAAGGATGTATTGATAAAATGGCTACAGCGATGGATTGGTCATATGAAATATAGAACTGCAATTGCACCAGTGTATTTCAAGTTAAAGGAATGAGGAGAGCTAGAGATAAACCAAGATCATACGTGTTGAAGCAGTTAGGAAGGATTTGGCATCTCCAAATCTCTTCATGTAGCCTTTCATTGGATGGAGTGGAGAAAAGGATTAATATAGCTGAGAGTTCCTAGGTTGGGGTTAAGGCTTGGCTGATTTGTATGGTATCATCTTTATCATTTATTTTGTATACATATTGCATCATTCATTTTGGATAACTCAGTTTGGTCAACATATAAAATGGTCCCATCGGTAGCTTGATTAATTGGTATATCTAACACTAGTTCTGGCTTACCATGTGCCGCAAATTATACCAATCTGTGGATCCATTTTCTTTCATAGAAAGATTTTGTATGTCAGTGATAAAAGAATGGAGGGAATGCATGACAGAGTTCTGATTATTATGGTGTTATGAAACAGACCCACGGTTGACAGATTACGATGCACTGCTTGAAAATATACATGGTTTAAAAGCAGGGAAACCTGTTCAAGTTCCAATATATGACTTCAAGTCTAGCTCTCGCACAGGATACAGGTTCTGTATCTCTCCTTTCTGTTTTCCTATTTTGTAAGACATGGAAACTCTTTCCATAAGGGTTAATGTGTCTCCACTTATTCAACCTGCTAGGGATGAAAGAAAAGAGAAAAAGAAAGAAAGGAAGGTGTGGACTGTCGGAAACAAATAGTGATTAATATGTGAATGTTCTTGATCTAGTTTTATTCATCATGATTACAGGACAGTTGAAGTGCCTAGCTCCCGCATTGTGATTATTGAAGGAATCTATGCCTTAAGTGAAAAATTGCGGCCTTTACTAGATCTTCGTGTATCTGTCACTGGGGGGGTTCACTTTGACCTTGTCAAGCGAGTATTACGGGATATTCAACGTGCTGACCAAGAGCCTGAAGAAATTATCCATCAAATCTCTGAAACGGTTTCTTTACGTGACCTATTTTAGAAATTCTTTATAGGGGTCTTAGCTGCTTCATGAAATCATATACTTAATTTTAGCCTTAGTGCTCCAAAAATCAAATTCCTCAAGATAGCACTTATACTAGTTCTTATCCACTTCTTTTCACACAGGTATATCCTATGTATAAGGCTTTTATTGAGCCAGATCTCCAAACAGCACATATTAAAATCATTAACAAGTTTAATCCATTCACTGGGTTTCAGAATCCTACTTATATTTTAAAGGTCAAGCTCTAAATCCATATTCCTATTTCAGTATAAAAGGTTCTATGACTCTGTAGGTCATACATTCCTTACTATTGTATTTCCTTGTCACAACCACTGAGTGATTTCTATCATTGTAGTCTACAAGAATGGTGACAGTGGATCAAATTAAGGAAGTTGTATCCGAGGAACATAAAGAAACTATGGAGGAAACCTATGACATTTATCTTCTACCTCCTGGTGAAGATCCTGAAGCATGTCAATCATATCTGAGGATGAGGAATAGGGAAGGCAAATACAATCTCATGTTTGAGGTTGGATGGTCATTTTCTTAGTCTCTTCTTCAAATTATTGTATGCATCATAACATTTTCTTAATTAACCTTGATCAGAATATAGCAGCATTTACTGAAATATTTTTTGTTTTATGTCAGCAATGAGATGTGTCCATCTCAGTGCTTTTTACTACATTTGCTTCCAATGGGTTTTAGATGCTAGGTTTTACCGTCATTACATAAGGAGAAAGCACCTGTTTTCAGATCTATACATAGTATGTCAGTATTATTTGTTTGAATAAAAATTAAACAATAATTGCAGGCACAATGTTATATGCTATGTTTAGCAACATGAATTTGGGAGAGTGGATTTTGTTTGGTTTCTTATAAGAATTATGATGACAAATGCAAAAATTATGTAAATATTAGTAAAGATTCAATATACTGATATAATTGAGAGAGTAGAAGAAGATGATTTAAAATTGACTTTTATGTTTTTATGAGTTCTATTGCACAAATTATGCAAAATTTGACATCAAAATTCCTCCTTTCAAATTTAAGTAGTAACACAGTCAAGTAAATTTGCGTTGATTGTGATAATTAATTCCATGTTGAATGTTTGATTTGTTCTAACTTCATCCTTTAGAGTTGTGCTTAATATTCTTTTCAGAGTGATAGAAATGTGGTAAGTTTTAGGGCTTCTGACCAGTTTGGCTGGTTTTCAGGAATGGGTAACAGATAGTCCGTTCATAATATCACCTAGAATAACCTTTGAAGTTAGTGTGCGCCTTCTTGGAGGACTAATGGCTTTGGGGTATACAATTGCAACCATCCTAAAAAGAAGTAGCCATGTCTTTTCTGATGATAAGGTGTGTGTGAAGATTGATTGGTTGGAGCAACTTAATCGCAAATATGTTCAGGTATCATATCATTTAACGCACTGTATAATTTTATTTTGTAGTTTATAGCCCTTAATTTCCTCTATCAGAGCAAGTTTCAAATGTTTTATTTATCAGAACCATGTGATGTTATCTTCCTTTTATTATTATTATTTTGAAAGTTGCATTTTTTCTTTATCATTACAACATTCTTGTTCTTAAGTAGTATTTAGAAGTCTTTGGCTATGATAACCGCATGATATTTGTTATGGCAATAAACAATTGCTTTTCTTCTTTTTGACAAATGAAAAAACCACTGCACTAAAAGGAACCTACAGGTTACCAACCCATGAACAGGACTGGTTTGCAGTAGACAACAATTCAACAAAAAAACCATAGCATATCCAAGGACCACTGCCTGTTGAAATATAGTATTGAACCAAGTAGCTATAGCTTTATAGGGATCACTCTTCTCCATTGAAAGTGCTTGCATTTCTCTCCCTCCATAAAATCCAAAAAATAGTGAGAGGATTGATTCTATTACTTTTTTCCTATCTGTACAAGTATGTACACCTCCCCAAGCCCAAAATTGATCCTTAACAGAACATGCCACTGCTATGAATTCTCAGCAGCACATACATCAAGGTGCCAAGCTGTCTTGCCAAAGAGTAACTCAACCAAGGATGTCTGTTGCTTTGCAATACAAAGCATCTATTGGAAGAATCCCCATCCTCCCCAAGCAAAATACTTTTCTACTTCTTTTTAAATTCTGAAAATATGGAAAGCAGCTTCAAAGTTGGCCTGTACTTCAGTTTAAATTCTTTAGGATGACTTATTGGGTACATGTTGCAAAGCTTAGAACTAACTATAATGTTGATGCTGTTTCTATAAGGTGCAAGGTCGAGATCGTCAATTTGTTAAATACGTTGCTGCGCAACTGAACTTGGAAGGTTCATATGTTCCCCGTACTTACATTGAACAAATCCAGCTGGAGAAGCTTGTAAATGATGTTATGGTATAATTCTCTGAGCTGATTATGAAATTTTTGAGCTCTGTATGGTGCTGATTCAAGAAATATGCAGGCACTGCCAGATGATCTGAAAACTAAGCTTAGCATTGATGATGACGTAGTTTCGAGTCCTAAAGAAGCCCTTTCTCGAGCCTCTGCTGATCGGAGAATGAAGTATCTCAGCCGGTAAATTTTTTTTCAAGCCACAATTGTATTAAGTTTAAACCTTAATGAAAATTTTTTAAAAACTAGGTAACAGAGCAAAAGTTGTCTCAGTTTCTCAGCTGAATGATCAATGTAAAGTGGAATTATGTTTTATTTTTCTTTAAGAGAATACATGTTTAAATCCTGATAACAATCACATATGACATTCACCTATCAATGTGGTGCTCCAGTATCTCACAGTCATATACAAATCAGCGGGACAAGAATTTGCCAAAGCTGACAAGGCTTGCTATTAATAGTAGAAGGTTTGATGGAAGGGCACCTGAGTCACCTTCCCCACTAGTGAATCCGGTGAGTACGTTGCCTCAAATTATTTTAATGAATATAACAGCGGTTTCTTTATTCACAGCCAAAGGCCCTTCATTCTTTCTGGTTGCAAAAAAATTGGAGGAAAGATAACAAAAGTTAATTATTTTAAGTATGATTAGAAGCAAATGGTGAATAGCACAAGCAGAAAGGGTGTTATTACAACCTTCATAGACTTGTTGCCATCAACCTCTTTGACTACAGACTTAAAAATATGGTGTTATATGCATGAAGATATTTCTACCTATTTCTTTTTTTTCTCTCTCTCTCTTAAATAAATAACAGGTGTTTCTTTCCTTCCCTCCTTGATAGTTTTATCCTTTCCTCTTACTTGATAGCATGTGTTAATTTTTGACGATTCATTTGCCTTTGTATCTTAGGGAGTTGTTACGCAGCTCTCAGAGCAAATTTCCACTCTGAATGAAAGGATGGATGAGTTCACATCTCGTATTGAAGAGCTGAATTCCAAGTTCTCTTCCAGCAAAGTTTCAGCTAGCCAACAAAACTTAGCTGTGCAGGCTGAAGCCAACAATGGTTCTGGACCTACTTCTCTTTTTGTAACTGGCTTGGGTAACGGTTCACTAACTGGATCCCTAATGCCTCATTCTTCATCTTCTTCCCAGTTGGCTAGGGAGTCCCCACTCGTGGAAGAGGTACTGTTGATAAACTTGATGTCTCTTCCCCCAACATTATTTTATGAAATTTATCCTTTATATCAGAATTAGATAGACCAAGTTACTGTGTCTGATTCTTGGTTTTTATGGTAGCATCGATCATCATGTTTTTCTGAACGTTTTTCATATCATGGTTTGGCATCTAAACTGTGCTTTAATTTAATTCTCTGTTTTTATCCGTGCAGGTTCTACTTATTGCACGAGGTCAACGCCAGATTATGCATCAATTAGACAATCTGAGCAATCTGCTACATGAATACCGGGGAGGAAGGTCTCAGCGGGAAAGAACAGATAGAACAAACAGAACAGTTGACGTTGACACCATCACTGTTCCTCTGATTCTTACTCTAGCAATTGGTGGTTTGGGTGTCTTTCTGTTCAGGAGTCTGACACCCCAAAAGTGATCATCAAACTTAACAGTCATTTTCAGCGTAGAGAGGAAGTTTGTACCACCCTTTGTGCTTTGAGGGACATTGTAGGTTACTCTTTGAGATATTGTACAGCAAAATCGTAAATATTGAAAGAAAGTAAGAAATTCTGAAATTAGTGCTATAATCAAGATATTTACACTATTTAATGGTAAATTATAATAGTGCCTCTTCAGGGAGTGCCGAGTTATTAATCCCTTGTTTTATAGCACTGTATTCGTGACTTGTGAAAACAGAGGAAGGGATACGAACAAAACAGAGTGTGTGAATGGGAGGGAAATGGAATATTAGTTATTCGAACTTCTTGTGCTTTTTATTTAAAATTGCCATCTCAATAATGGTTTTTGCTTCTTCAATTGATTGGAAGAATAACTTATTGTAGCAAACCATTTAACTGAAGCAACGGAGCGGAATGTTGCTGATGCACACTAAGCAATGAGTCACACTGCCTGGGAATGAAGTAGCGAGAGCAAAGTCACAAGTTTTGTACTTGCACCATTGACACATTTGTAAAGACCAGGATGGTTAAAGGAAGTAAAAGAAAGCAGATAGCCAAATAGCAAGGAAGAAGTAAATAGCAGCATACTACAATAAGTATCAACTAAAGCACATTCCATAAGCAGCAGAAAACAGGGTGCCAACATCAAAAGCTTATATAACAAGCACAACAAAAAAATTTTCGTTAATTAAAAAAGGGTGGATGTAAGCTCAGATATATCCGCTACTATCTGGCTATAATCAGCCTTTATTTTTTCTTGATCCTCAGGGCCTAGTTCCCCTTTAGTGGGCTTGGTTAGCACCAGAACACAGCATGTCGGTCTCTTGGTAGCTCCTGCAGTTGCAAGATCCTGAAATGGCAGAAGTAACTAATTATAGGGTGCATGATAGAGAGCTCATAGCTAAGTTCATTTTACATTACCAAACTCAACAAGAAAGTCTAATCTGCAAAGAGCCTTAAAATGTGCTAACACATGTTCAGGGACAAATTGCAGGATGGACTGATCCAACTAGTTGTATATGTGGACTAAAACCAAGAGTCTTTAATCAAGCAGATATAATTTTAGGTTCACAAAAATGAGCCATAAGGAAAGCCATATACAGCATTCCAGACCTGCTTTTGAAATGCTTTACAAAGTTCCAAAGAACATGAAACAAAATTCCAAAGATTCCAATTCATGATACAAATACCATAATGCAGTTAGAAATATTTCATATACATACATAGACACAGACTCATTATATACCTGCAAATCATTAACCAAAATATTTCTTAGCACAAACCCTGAATGTTCTGGGCATATTGGCAACTGTGCTTGCCTAACATAAAGGAATGCATCTCAATTAAATAAATAAAGAAAATGGAAAAAAATTGGTTAGACTTGTCCTGCCCCTTTTTCTACAAAGGTGACAAAGGAAGATAATATGGAAATTAGAACATAGATAAGAAATCAGTAGGGTTTCTAATAGTCAAGGGGTAAAACCACTTTAAGCATGCAATGCCACCAAATTAGACAGAAAGAGTGTTTTCAGCTTACTTCTTTTGAGGGAACATAAACATAGGGAATGTCAGCCTCTTCACATAGGATTGGAACATGAGTTATGACATCAATAGGAGATATGTTTCCAGCTATAACACATAATCTGCATCCACCAAAAGATTGAAAAAACATGATTAACATTTTAAGTTAAAACTACTTCTCATAAGTTTGAATTTTGATGAATCAAGAAAGAATGCCCTATCAGCAATGTGCTACAAAAAGCAAATATGAAATGATTATTCCTTTTCTTTTTTTTTTTTTTGACAAAAGCTGTTCAATAATTTATCAATTGGCAGCATGGACTGCTTCTTAAACAGCTGGCATCCATTTGTAGTTGCATTACATTGCTGTATAAAGCAAATACAGCCTAGATAAGCATTTTGTTGACCTTTTTTCCTTCTCAAAAGTGCCAACATGTTACTGGAACAGCACAAGTATTGCCCTTTCCTATTCAACTATGCTGTTCCAAATTCTGATATACTAAGGACAAAGTTCAGATGACCATAAGACAAATTTCCTTTTCTTATATATTAGCTATGAAGTTGGGCAGTTATAGCCACAAACTTCAGCTAGCCCTTAAAGCAGCAATGACAACTATAGCAGAAATGATGTAGTCATAGCCTCATAGGCATCATTTACAGGCATGGTCCGATAAATTCAAGGTTATAGTCTACTTAACTCATGTTATGTTCTTAATTAGAAACATCATTAAACACGCTTATAGAAACTAACAGGTCAAATTATTAAGCTAATTTCAATTTATAAATTCTTTCTCCTTCCCCCTTTTCTCTATATCCTTAGTATTCCCTCTACTTCTTTCAATGTAGCACAAATGTTCAAATCAGCACATTCTTTTCCACTGTAATCAGCACAAATTTATTCACAAAATATATAGGTGTTATCACTTTAATGATTGTATTAAAACAGATAACGCTTTATTGATACCAAGCCATATGTCATAACCACAACTTATCACAACTTCTATTTGCATCCAAAAACAGGTAAATAACTTTAACCCCATTTACTACTGTAACAATTATCAACAAAATAATAAAACAGAGTCATAGATTTCCACTCCCCTGACAGAATGACCAAAACTTCTCGGACCATGAAACTTATTTTGTATGTATATCCATGTAAATATATATCAAGGCACAGATTAGAGTAAGAAACGCTTAAAAACTTACCCTTTATGACCACGCCGAATACTTTTAACCACTTCCTTTACTCCTCTCTTCAAGCACTTGTGCTCAGCGGCTACAACAATAAAAAGCAACACATTCTTAAGAAAACTTAAAAAGAGAAAAAGACAATCTATTCCAAACTCAAACAATCAACAACTTCACCGAAATACTTAAACCACCAAAAATCCATCACATCAATCACAAAAATTCCACTATTCGAGCTCTGGGTCTTAGGAACACCATAAACTTATGGATGTTCTTAAAAAGGGTTGAGTGTATATATAAAAATGGGATACCTCTGCGAACGAGCTTGAGGGTTTTCTTAGAGAGCTTTTTGCCAGCGAGGGGCTTTGCGATGGGAGCAACAGCTAACATCTTCTTCCTCTCCTTCTCCTTCTGTTGCGTCTTCTCTATTTCGCTATCGCTTCCCATTTCCCTCTCTCTCTCTCTCTCTCTCTCTCTTTTCCGCTAACAATGGAAAAACGAAGTACTGCCAAGAGAGGGAATCGATGAATGTACAACCAATAATAATGTGCAGGAGAGTGATGGCGGAAATTAGGGTTTTTGTATGCTTTAGCATTTCCAGGGTTTAAGCTTTATATCGTAATGGGCTTTTCTGTCGATCCCATTGCAATTACATTTTAGTTTGGGCTTTTGTAACTGGATCTCAGTGTTCTCGCAAATATTTTTCAATAATTCCTACCTCAATTCACTTTTGGGGTTTCTTTGTTATATTTAAAATATGTATGTTTTTAGAGAAATTTTCACAAAAGAATCAATAATTAGTATTAAAATTTAAGTTAGGTAAGATTTTAAAATTATTTAAAAAGTTATATTTAATTAACCTGAATTAATAAAAAAATTAAAAAATCATTATTTTGTTAATAAACCCGACAAATCATACATATTTTTTTTAAGTTAATTGTATATTTAGACGTCCAAATAAAGAATCAATTTGGATCAAGTCACTGATCCGGTAATAATGATTAGTAAAAAATTAAATAAATTTCACACCAATTAAATTTTGAGATTTTGCATCATTTCTCATTTGCGAGAGAGATTTCTATGATCACTACAAGCTTGTTTTAGGTTAAAAAAATAGATTGTGTGCCCATTTGTCAATATGTCACTATGGACACTTTTATGTACACTTTTTAAGCAAAGACAGCAATTTATTTCAGTTAAATACTTGTTTTTATTTATTTTTAAATAAAAATATAATACAAATAAATAATATATATAGAGTGCAAAGTTAATTGTCTATAATTACAAAAAAAAAAGGAAATTAACGAAATATTGTAATGGTAATCTATAAATCATTCCATACTACAGTATTAGAATTAAGAAAAATGTTTTTAAACGAAAGTATGAAATTTAAAATTTTTTTTAAATTAGATAAATTTAATATTTATAATAAAAATATATATTTATCGAAAGTCGTTTGATACCATTAGAATTTTTACATATTACAAATTAGATAAATTTATTAATATTAATAATAAAAATATTTAAATGGTAATTTGGAAATATAATAAATAAATATTATTAATATTTTAATCAATAAAAAAATGTTCATACTTATATATATATATATATTTATATTAGGCATAGATTATAAACAAATAAATTATAGATATTATAAACATAGATACAATCACATAGTAATGTCAATTCCCTTCCAATAAAATAATATTTTAACACTCAAGTATTTAGTTAATTGATTGATACATAATTCCTTGTCTAGAGAATAAAGATTGAATCCTTTTTTTCAATTTAAAAAAATAACATTTCATATAATCTATAGTTTTTTTTATTGAAGATGATGACAACCAAACTATGTTTTCCACTAATTAAAAAAAAAAACCTATGTTTTCCACTAAAAACACAACAAGTAATATTGGATTGTTCTTATTTGCCTCACAATGTACCAAAAAATTACTTGAAAGGTTAGACCACATATAATGAAATTGAAGTACATATTTTGTCTCAAACCAAAGGAAGCAAATGATTTTTCCTTGTCTCTAGAAAAGAAAAATGAAGTAATTAAGGAAAGAGAAATAATATAAGTTTAACACTATAAGGAAAGAAATAGTGAAACGTGAGAAATGTGTAGTTCCATTTGTATAAAGTAGTAATTAAATAAACTATGTTAGGAGTGTTGATTATGTTGGGCAATTGTAACAACCATAACGAAGTTCAAGGACAATGATAAAAACAAAAAAATGAAAAAGCTTTTGAATTATTTAAGAACATTTAAATAAATTTTTATTTTTTATGACGTTCAATTATCTTTTTATATTTTTATTTTTGATTAAATAAGTTATTATGACTAATGGTTGATTAATTATAATTAATCAAAATATCACTTATTATTTTATTCTCACGTAATCTTAAAGTGGATGGTGAAAAATATTATATGACTATATTATCATATCACATCCACATGTTATGTTAACATCAAATGACATTAAATAATAAGTCACATTTTGATTTAGTTAATTATAAGGGCTTATTTGGTTTAAAAGTATAAAAATTTATTTAGTTAAAAAAATACAGTATAAAAATTTAATTCAATGTAATAAAAATAAATTTTTTAAATAATTTAAAAACTTTTTAGATATTATGCTAAAAAAATTGAAGATTTGAAAAATGAATTTCAATAAAAATGAAAAAAAAAAAAACCAATCGGTATGAAATAGCCTTTCCATTTGTTATACAAACATGGTTTTATTATTAGTGTTATCTTATCTTAATATAATAAAACTAATAAATTTCTCATAAAAAAAAAGTTAATGGTTTAATGTGGATGGTCTTAATTTGTTAATGTCACCTGTCACTAATAAATTTGTTCGATTTAATATAAAAAATTAATTTATTTTGATTAATAATTTTTTATTATATATATATTTTTTAGGAATTAACATGAGTTATTTCGTGCATAACACAAATTTCAAACTGCGAGAATTAACTTGAGTTATCTCGTGCATAACAGGAGTTTCAAACTAGTAGAATTTAAAACTAGGACACCGCCAATCCAAAACCTGTTTGTGGGAGGCCATTGGGTTTGGCGTTGCACCATGCAACAAACAGGCTGTACGTTTGTGATGCCTTTTTCGGCTTCGGAGTGTTGGGCCTGAAGGGAGGACAGGTAACCATACTTTCCACCGGTGCAGATGGAGAGCCTTTCCGTTTCTGCAATGCAGTGGATGTCCAACGAACTGGAGATGTATATTTCACAGATATCAGTGCTGTCTACGATGTAAGGTTCTTTTCTATGTCCTATCTGTTATCTGTTTTACCGATGTCTGATTGATGATATAAATAGCGTGGAACAAACTAAAAGCAGGCATAGTTTCTCCAACCTTGCAGACAACTTGAAACAGCAATAAGTACTAACGATTCAACAGGGAGGTTGATGAAGTATGACTTCAAGACTGAGCAAGTGACAGTGTTGTTTAGGAATCTTTCCGGTGCAGCAGGGGTTGCAGTTGATGAGGAAGCCAAATTCGTCCTGGTTTCCAAGTTCATTATTAACAGGACTATAAAGATTTGGCTACAGGGTCCTAAAGTTAACAAATTTGAGATCATAAACTTGCAGCCAATGCCGGATAACATCAAGAGGACTGCATCGGAAAATGTCTGGCTAGCGGCAGCAATGATAAAACAAGGCACACAATCACTTGTGCCTATAGGGCAAAGGATCAATGCATCTGGCACTGTTTCACGAACAGTGAATTTTGAGCGATGGTATGGAAATAAATCAATCAGTGAAGTTCAAGAGTTTGATGGTCTGCTCTACGTAGCATCACGGTTAGTGAATTTTATTGGTGTCTACAAGCATTAAAGTTTCCTGAAACTGTAGTTAATAAAAGAAAATGGCTGCAAATATAAAGCTAGTTTGAAACGAAGGCTGGCTGCCCCTGCTTGTCTACCATGTAATAATGTACTAATTCTCTCTTCTGTGTTCGATTTGGCAAGGTATTTAAATAATTGGTATTTGATGCATAAAGAAAATCAAAGCATTTGAGTTGTTATTCATAGCATCTTAAGGGACAAGTTGAATGCATTACAGGGCAAACTGACTGCGGAACTAATGATTCGAAAGTCAGATTTCAAACTTGAAATATATAGTAATCAGGTTTTTATCTTTTATGCTGGAAAGAACTATAACCCTTTCAATATGATACACCAATTTTAATTGAAACTACGATGAAGCATCATGCCTTCCAAGTGATGCTCTATGTAAGCAACAACTTTTTCTGAATCAGTGGTACCATTTTTGCTTGGTAGGGTATAAATTATGAATCTCCATCTAAAGCAAGGTAACAATGAACAGCCACTAGGCCAATCTATAAACTGTATTAAAGCAGAGGTTCAAACGGGCCATGAATATTGAAACCTTCTCCCACAAAATAGTTTTTCTCGTAGCACTGCAAGTTTTTACCAGAAAGAACATGGTTTAAAAGAGAAGAAAAAAAGAAATCCATCTTGCAGGATATATATAGTTTTTGAACTCCACTATAAACGTATGGTGCAACCTATAACCTCTAGTTGAGACCCCAATTCGATGAAGCAATTTTATCTGTAGTTTGGCCTCTAGGTTGAAGTATCTTGTGGAAGCTAGACTCGATCACAGCCCCAACTTGCCTCTGGTCATGAAACATGACTCTACTTGAAAAATTTTGGTCACGATTGATCTTTCAGAATTAAAACATGTCAACTAATCATGGTAAATTGGAGAAACGTTTTCTCGTTTGCCTTTCTGAAGAATCATGTGTCACATTTAACCTTTCACTTCCACTTCAGTACAAACCAAAACCCAGTAACTTATGTAAGAACCTTATATGACTATTGTTGAACAGTTAAACGCTCAACTACCATCATCCTAATTCACCTTTAGAAACCGTAGCACAATTCCACCAACTCTTTATTACCACCAGCATATGCCCTCTTAGACACAGGCAGCAAAATCAAATTTTCCCGACAACCCTTCTTCGGCTTTAAACTTTCTTTTATAATTTGATATGCTTTTGTAATTTGAAATGGCTTTATTTGATACTTTTAGATACCTTTGTGAGTTACCTTTCAATTCTCCTATAAAATTGTAGTATTAGAAATGAAAATTTGGTTTATTAGATCATTTATATGGGATAAAAATAATCTTATGACATTTTAAGCAATCAATATCATGTATGTAAAAGATGTTAGTCGAAATTATCTAAATTATCTCTTTTTGAAATTAGTTTTTGTGTCACAGATACACATTCGACTTAAAAGACATTCCTATTAGATGGAGAAAGGTAGCTCAAAATTTGTCTCAATTGCACACAAACTCTTTCACGCATAAATAAGAAAAGTCCACTTTGATCAAAATCTATCTCGACACTAGTATCCTTCACAAAAAGTTTCATATTAGTAAAAAGTTGGATAAATTCTTATATCACTTGTCACAGATTTACATGTCCAACTCAAAAACATGTCCATTAAGTGAAGCAACAAAACCCTTATTTATAAGGTTAAAGTTTATATTTTTTTTACTAATATGAGATCCGTGACATCTGTACATATAAATAATCTTGTATAGTTATTTTGATTTCTTATGCTTGTTTAAACATTGAGTTCAACGAGTGAATGAAATATGACAACTTTTATTCATTTTCCTATGATATATACATGTCGGGAGGAAGACAAAGCTGAAGCCGAGGCTCAAAAATGAGTTTGAGCTTGATTCTTCCAAGCAAATGAGTCAAGTTCTCACTTGAAAATTTTTTAAATACTATCTAAGCTCGGTATGAACAAGCTTGAATTCCATCAAAGCTTAAATAAGATAAACGTTTTACGTTGCTGTTGTTTATTTCGGTAGGGGTTGTCTACAGTCCTTCGTAGGCTTTTGCTTATGGGCCTAATTTGCACAGAGCCAAGAAATACATGCATATCTTTCACTGGAATTACAAAAGAAAAATCTTTTTCAGAGAAGAAGACAATTAAACAAATGCTTTCTGTCATGGCAAAAGAATGCAAACGGCAAATCTTCAGACGTTTCCACTAGCCTTGCTAGCGAGTTTTCTTGAGGCTTTTCCATATTTCAGGGGTTACCTTCTTCGGAATTGCAACGATATCCATGGCCTATAACCGTCCAAAATTCGTAGTAAAGTAACGCCATACCAAGTAGTGATGATTCTTGCTTGATTTCAAATTTTTCTCTTGAATCCAGTGCTCGAGATCATCAGTTACAGTATTTCTCGATCTGGTTTGCCTTCGGTACCTGCTCTGGCGCTTATAAATACCGAGTAGTTAAACACAAGCATGGATAAATTTGGGTAAATACATTTAAAGAAAATGGCTTATATCATCAGCCTCAGAAAAGTAACCTTGCTCTCCATTTTCATATTTATATTCTGTTCTCCTTCAATGGTTCTTTCTCAGTTTTTCAGCTCAATTCAATTGCCACCAACAGCCAGAGGGCCCGAATCCTTTGCCTTCGAGCTTGGAACCGGACGATTTTATGTAGGTGTAGATGATGGTAGAATTCTCCAATATAACGGACCAGCTACTGGATTTGTGGACTTCGGATACACCAGTGGAACTAGGTGATTCCCTTACATGAAATCACTTGTATAGCAAGCTAGCCATGTCTGCAACTGCACCTGTCTCAGAATTTTCATACCTAGCTAGGTCCCCTGGCTCCTTTTTCTGGTATTAATTATTCATCTATTCCCTTGTACTACTTGAGTATTCACCCTTTGAACGCTATTGAAGGTCCAAGGCAGTGTGTGACGGCGCTACTAATCCAGATTTGGGGCCAGTCTGTGGGAGGCCACTGGGTTTGGGGTTTCATTACGCCTCGAGTCAGCTGTATGTTTGTGATGCCTATGTCGGCCTCGTGTCGTTAGATTCTGGAGGAGGACTAGCAAACCTAGTATCCAGCAGTGCAGAAGGAGAGCCTTACCGCTTTTGCAATGGTTTAGATGTCCACCAACTATCCGGAAATGTTTTTTTCACAGATACCAGCACTGTCTATGATCTAAGGTTCTTTCATGTTCCATACTATTATTTATTACATTTTGCAAAGTTATGTTTCATTACACGTAGTATATCGCTTAATTACACATACATATACATGTTGCAGAAATGCTTCAAAAGGATTGACCGCTAATGATTCAACAGGGAGGCTGTTAAAGTATGACCCTAATACTAAGCGAGTTACAGTGTTGCTAAAGAATCTTACGGGGCCAGCCGGGGCTGCAGTTAGCCAAGACGGGACATATGTCCTCGTCTCTAACTTCAATAGTAACACGACTATGAGGTATTGGCTCCAAGGTCTTCGAGCGAACACCTATGACATCATAAGTACTCAGGCAAGGCCAAATAATATTCAGGGAACACTAGCAGGAGATTTTTGGCAGGCAGCAGCAATGGTAAAACAACCCACGCAGTCATTGGTGCCTATAGGGCAAAGGATCAATGGGTTCGGTATTGTTACTCGAACAGTAAACTTCGAGCCATGGTATGGCAATAATTTAATCAGTGGAGTGCAGGAGTTCGGTGGTGCATTATATGTAGCATCGCGCTATGTGAATTTTGTTGGGGTCTATAGCTTTTAACCTTGTCTTTGGACTGTACTTATTATAATGGCTGCAAAATTGAAGTCTCCGCTGAGAGATTATTTATCTTTACTTACTCAGTATACTTAGATAAAATGATGGGAAAAGAATATGAAAGCAGTTGAGTCGCTGCTCAGAAGGCTGAGTTGAAGGAATTCACAGCTTCAAACAGTAACTGGGTCCAGAGACAGAATGCAGATTGAGTCACAACTACAACTAATGATTATAATATGCATGAAGGTCCGATTTCAAAATAGAAATGCAAAAACAAGCTCAACTCATGCTGTTAAAAAACTGATGGAATAGGCTTACATCATTTTGTCCATGAATGGAGACACCAATTTGAAAGCAACGTTCATGCCTTCCAACTGGTGCCAATGTCGTAACTAGCAACCTAAGTAAAGGTGAACTAACTCATAATACCAAAATTTTACTCTTGGAACTCCCTGTACAGGTCAAGGTGTGATGCATAGAATGATGGAATATTTCATTAGGATTTCATTTACACGCCGATCTAATGAATTTAATTAGCTAGGAAACTTATCGAACATCAATGGCTGAACCGTTTCGAAGCTGAAATAACCATCTTTACATAAAGCAGTGCTCTTTTTAATGCTCCTCTTTTAAAATCACCATGCATGCAAGTAAAACAATGGCCTCCTCGCAATTTTTTTTGTCCTTATAAGAAGGAAAAGAAATTTATAAGATTTTAGACTCCATTTAGTTGTTATTTCTAATGCTTGGATTTTCTATTTGGTTTTTGTTTATAGAAATATTATTAAAAGCAAAATCATAATTAATTAAGCTTACTTTTTGTTGATACTTTTACCATTTACTATTTATTATCTGCCTTTTGTTTTTTATTCATTCTTATTCATTTGTTAAAAAAAAACAAATAGCAAAAATATCAATCAAACGAAACTTCATAATAAACAAATAACTAAAACTTACAACCAATAACATAATTAATCAATATAAATGTAAAATATCATGCATTTTGTTTATATATTTTCTTTGTAATTTTTCAAATATATAGGTTGTTTTTGTTAGTCTACATTGGCTATGACGGGGCTTTTCTTTTATGGCCTTTCAATGAAGTTTTCTGTTGTGTTAGTTTTGACAGCAGAACTTGCCTCAATAACTGGATTCAATTAAAAAGAAAATCGACTTTTGGATTTATTTTTTTGCATCCAATTTGGATGTTAGCCATTTCTACTCTGATGGATAAATTTTAAGTTTCTTACAAAGCACCTCAGACAGCCAATTAAGTCAAACCGAGTATTAAAATTATTAACTCAACATCAATTTTACCTTGAACTTATAATAACCCTTCAATGCTAATTTTCCAATTCCAATTAACATATGACACAATTTATTAAAAACTCAACAAACTCCATGCAATGAACTCTAAGCCTTAATCCTATTCCAGTAGTGATTGAAGGTAAGAATCACCAACGTATCCTTACGTCTGACCTATTCCTACTAATTAGGGAGATTACTAGGCTGAATAGTGGTAATTTAGGTTGAGTCAACATACCACAATTGTATATAAATGTATGAAATGTAAAGGGCAAATTATAACCATCATCAACTTTTACATTTGCCCACTTTTCCTCCTTGATATAAGATGGTAACTTGAGATGTTTGGAACTGACTCTGGATTATAAACAAGCTTATCCAAATCAAATGAAAATGTAAATCTACTAGCTTACAATTTCAGGAATGACTTTCAGCAAAGGTAATGTAAAAGAAAGATAGCCAGACCAATAAAAGCAGCAAAAGTCTTTCATCAAAAAAAGAAACAAGAAGATGGGCACAAAGAGAGGAGTTACACTTAACTGAAAAGCAATAACGAACTATGCAACAAGACTGATGACATATTACATCTTCTTCAGTTCTGCTAGAAATTCTTGAAGATCATCCAACTTTGCATTGGCCAGGCCTACATTTCAAACAAGAAAAATGCAAAACTTACTTCACAAGACAAGCAGAAATTAGTATAACCACTGTTCAGCTGTATTGAATCAGCATAAGTTTTACCCTTCTCTTGATTCACAGTGAAGTAATCTGTAAGTGAATTGCATATCCTCTCTGCTCGTGCATGTTCCATTCTTTCCACCTGTCTGGTCTTTAGCTTCTGCATTTTGACACGGAGTTCTGTTGCAGTTTGCACCATTTCTGCAGGAAGCATGGTTGGGAGTAAATATCATGATAAGCAGAACAATTAACTTAAAAAGGAGTGCTTCAAAAATATGAGCAGATGGTAGCAATTACAAGTTCAACAATCAAGAAAAGCTGAGGCCTGAATATAGAAATGCTTCTATTGGGTAGCATTTATAATTAAAATTAGTAAGAGGAGATGGATGATATAGCACATTCAATTTTGAACCTCCTCTATGTGAAACTGAAATGAGGAATAGAGAAAGAGGAATGAAACCCCTCTTTGCAACAAAAGGTGTTACCAAGTTATTAGTTAAAACGCTTACAGCAATGTTTTCTTACCTAACTGAAGGTTCAGACCAGGATTCAAAATAAAACTAATTCAAAAATTTGGCAATAGTAACTTGTGGGCGTGTTACAAAGCTGCTTCAAACATTGATGCATTAAAGAAACTGACAGAGCAGAAAGCAATGTATGGACCATTTTAACTTGTCAGTGTCCTTCTGGGTAACAACTAACAAAGCAGTCCAGATAACTTAGTCAATCACTATATATTGAGAGCTCATTTGGTGCATAGGATGATATTGGATAGGAAAGTTTGTTATTTCAAGCAATATTTGACATTGTCCCTACTCTCTAGTCTTTAATAAATAAATAGATTGGATAGTTGGACTAGTTATCCTATGGATAGGGTTACATAACCCTAAGAGCCAAAGGATTAATTGAATCCTAATAGGAATATGGAAACTAAGATAAGAGCAGTTTTATTATGCAAACCACCATGCACCAAAATAAGACAATGTACTCATCAATTTTGTCTTGTCCTATGCAATGTGCATAATACCATATAAAACCTTAATGTTTTAGATGTGCACATTGTTTTTCAGAACAGGAAGTAAAGAACAAAGAGAATATGATCAGAAACATTTTCTATACTAAGATCCTTGTTGTCCTATAATTTATATAATCTACAACATCTGAAACAGAACCTCATTTCTTGTGCTTGCAAAGACTATCTCAGTGGATTTAATGCATTACTATATTAAAGAATATAATTAAACAGGCTACCTAAATTACCTCGGAACATGTCACGCGCAGAGGTGTCTTCATATAACTGCAATGCCTCATTAATTAGTCCAGTATATTGCCCACTTAAAGCAGACTGTCTTTCCAATTCCTTAAGTTCACTGTTCAACCTATCGGACTCTGCCCCAGCCTAAGAAGGAAGTTTCTTTTACAAGGAGATCAATAGCAGAAAAAAAAAAGAAAAAAGCAGAAGAAAAATTATACATAAATAAACATTCCAGC